TTTAATAAACCTGTCAATCTGAGAAGCTTAACATTTGGGTGCATCTTGTTTTCCGTGGGAATATGACTCACCTATCTTTATATTGCTACTATTCTTAAATGTAAAAGAATAAAACCACAAATTGCATGTGTGCTTAGAAACTGAGATTGTCTGTCAAACAAGGGCAGGCAGGGTGAAATGCGGTGCAGCAATAGGTACAGTGCAATTGCAATTGGCTTTGTGGTGTCAGTGGTTTAGTGTTCAGATCTTTAATAGCAGCCAGCCATTTAACAGCAAAACTAAAATAATAAATGCTGTGTTAATATTACTGTTTTGTTTTTCTCAGCGACAAGGATGATTAATACAGTCTTTACTCTTTTAAAGCAAAGTAAAGATGAAAGCAAGCATAGTCCCTTAGAAAGGAAAAATAATACTAAGGATTTGAGTGAAAGCACAAAGGAACGAAGAAAATCTGATGAAGAGGGTAAGTTCTAGTTTTAAGGCTGATGCATTTCCTTCTGTGTAGTGATATCTAAATGTCAGTGATCCAGCTATTTAAACAGGTAAAGCATACAAATCTGCACCTGTAGAAAACCATGCCACTGTATGTTACTTCTGCAATTATATTGATTCTTACTGCTCATCTGAGGTTTAAAAAATAATAATAAAAGAAAAATCTTGGCCAAAGTGTTAAAAAAAGGATTTTTTGAAAACATTTGGTATAGAGTAAATGTATGGGGAACTCTTACCAATTTTAGACTTGCACCCACAGAATCAAATGTCACTGTTAGTAAAGTGTTGTACGCTTACAACTAGTTCACATGGGCAGAGAATCAAGTTAGATGCTGGTTATTATTTTTTTCTTTTTGTTGCAATTACAGTAGAAACTTCTGCCGTCCTCCCAGGAATTACTGATTTGTCACATCCCCATAGGAGACAATGGGAAAAAAGGATACCTGGTTCTGTAGTGGGTGTCCTGGAAAATGCGTCCTTGCTTTCTTCTAGTTTTACATCTGAAGAAGCTAAAAGTAAGGTTTGATTAAATGTGGTTTTAATTCAAGTAATATCAGTGATTCTTTACAGATTTTAAAAGCAAAAACTTTATAAGGCAGATTTAAAATGATGTCAAATAATTTTAAAATATTTTATTAACAAGCACTCAAAAAGTCCACTGTGCTGAAGAGAACTACTTTGTGGTCTTGTGTGACAGGAGGATTGCAAAGAGTGATGAAAGCCACAGATAACATTAGCAATCCTGAAATTACAATCATTGCTAATAAATTATCCTACCAACCCTCCTCTTAATATGTTGTTTGTGGGGTGTAACACTGAGGAATTCATTTGATGCAGAACACAGCTGCCTGTCTTTCAAGTACAGGGTACTATTGAGAGCGTATAATGTCCATACCTCTACTTCTGTTGTCATTTAACATACAGATTATACCAACGACAAGAACTATTAATGATGTACCTCAGATGTGAGGCAGAGATTCTTCTTCCACATCAACAGCTTTTAATCAGAACAGTTAACATGGGGTTTCTTCTGAAAAATGCTTCAGTTTTAAAATGCCCCACACTGTGGGGTATATACTGTTAAAATTATTTCATGTGATTTTGGATGTGAGTTCCAAGTAAATGTGAATAGATGCAATTGAAAGGATAAGAGTGGTCACAAAAGCTCTGGTAGGAACATTACATGATAATTATATGCAGGGCAAAGGAAGAGAACAGAAAGATGCATGCATTTAGGTGTTCTGCTATTAAAAGACGCAAAAATAGCCCATTTTGTGAGATTTATGGAGACACTAAATAAGCTTGCAGAGACTCTGGCTCCTCACACCCCTCGGTCAGTTTCCGCTGGCTCTACTGTGGCTGTCGGTAGCTTTCTTTCCTCTTCATGCTGATACTGTCAACCTCAGCATGTTGAGAGGTCAGCAGTGCTACAGATGGAAACATCTAGACTCTTTTCCTCCTGTATTTTGCTCCTGAATGTGATCTTTGTAATCCACGCTGCTAATGCAATTTTGTCTAAGTAGTATTTATTAATGATTTTATACCTAGGTGGCTGTGTTATAAACTACAGTGAAAATAAGCCACGTAAGCAGTGGAACAAGGAGGCTCCTCAGACCCTGATGAACATTCTCAGTAATGCTGATGTCAGCTTAGCATTTAAAACATACACAATTTATAAACCAGGTAATTCCCCAGGTTTATTAATAAAGAGTTGGGTTTTTTTTAACATACATACATAGCCTCTATGTATAGAGCTTGTGCACTTGAGTTCACATCACAACAAGACTGTTTTGGTTTTTTATCTAAGTTTGCCAAATGAAATGTGGGATTACAAAATTCCCAGCTGAGAATCCATGAGTGGTTGCACATTTCCACTACACCTCTTTATGAAGAACTTTCACTGGCAGCTCAGTAGCTGAATGAGGTTGGGACAAAAAAGCAGCAGCTGCAGAGCCGTGCAGTCTCCGTCCTGCTCAGCAGCCTGGTGCATGCCTAGCGAGGCACAATTCATAGGCTGTAGCCCCATCAAGTAAATCCACCTTCGCTAAGTCAGTAGTGCCCTAATTTGAAGACAAGATGGCAAGATGGCACGGCGAAAGATAACTGTAGCCTGTAGATGTGCACAGCCATAAATTGTAAATACTTGGTCTGCACTTCAGTTGTATTATTAGTTTATCTCCCCACTTAAAATAGGTAACAGCTTGTACTGGAATCTGCTAAGAACTGGGGGCAAATTAGACTATATTGTATTTATATTCTTAATAATTTCATTTTTAAAATTAAAGGATTTTGGTGACATTTTCATTTTTACACTTTCAAAGCTTCTGGAAATCTATTAAGAGGTCCACTTTCCAATGAAACTGAAGCATCTGATGAAGTAGATGGTGAACATGAAGCTATTGTCATAGATTCTGAGAGACTTGAGCCTAGATCTGATGAAGATGACACGTACGTCCAGATTACATCCTTGTTATTTTTGTTGTTGTCTTCAGTTCCTCTAAGAGATTTTTCCACAAAGACATTCCCCTGAAAAAACCACAGTATTTTTCTCAGCATCTAAATCCATCCTTCTCTTACATAATGATCTTAAAGTTTAGTAGCATTTGCTGTCTTACAGGTTTTCTTTGCTATATTTGTAGTTATGGATGGTGTTGAGATTAAACACGGTGCTTGTTATTAGCAGACATGCCAATAATTTGCTGATGACTTTGCAAAAATGAAAGCATGAGATGAAATTAGAACCGCAGTAAAGTACAAAACCTTCTTACATGAAATATCTTTATACTCTGACCTTGAACTCAGATAACCAGGGGCTAATCTACTTGCCTAGTTGTACATTTGCTCTATTTGTGGATTATTCTTCCTACTCGTTCATGCATAGTGCAATGAAATCACTTTGATACCTAATTATTGAGAAATATTTGTAGAAATTTTGTGACTTCTGTGTTCTATTTATGTTAGCAACCCACTTCTGTTTTTGGAAGAGCAGAGTGTATGTCAACACATTTCTGAACAGAAATACTGCGTTTTACAGATGTGTGTATGTTTTTGGGGAGGGTTCTTGGATTTTCAGAATTTCAGTTATTGCCACTGTTTATTTTTGTGGCACTTGGAAATGAACTATTCAGGCATGTGTTACTGCAGTTCAGCTGCAAGCTGTTAATATCACCACATTTGCAGTCTCTTAGTACATGCATTTGTTTTTGCTTTTGATAAAACTTATTTGGGTAAATTCAAAAGAGAACATCTATTGGTTCCTTAATCACAATGGTGCAGGAAACAAAGTCTCTCGTGTTGCTATTTTTAACATAATTTTTCCTAGGGTCATTTTAGGGAGAAAAATAGCAAATAAAGATTTATAAAGTGGTATTTTTCTTTGCTAAATAACATTTTGAAATCTATTTTCAGGGACTTTGAGGAAGATGACCCAGACTGGGTGTCGGAACTGGAAATGGTATTGAAACACAGTGACTGAAAACTTGAATTTGCCTACAATAAATGAAGTTAGACTTGCCAGTATTTATAATCTAAATCGTTGTTGCTAATAGTTGTAGTTATTAATAAAATTATTTCACTTAGAAAGTTCTGAGTGGGAATGTTTTCTGTGTTATAAAACTGAGGATGGAAAATGCGTAACAAACTTTTTTAGCTACAACACTTGCAGATAACTGAACTGAGTCTAGATGCTGAACGTATGTGGAGTTGGCAGTACCGTTGCAGAAATGTTTGGTCAAAAGCATTGGTGCTAATACCGTTGTTCAAATTGTTGTATTTCAAAGAGATGGTGTAACGCTACGAGAATGGGTGAAGTTTTTCTTCCAGGCTACATAATGGAATACCCCGTTGTGGTGGCCTGACCCTGGCTGGACACCAGCTGCTCACCAAAGCTGTGCCACCACTCCCCTCTCACCCGAGTCCTCCTGGGGAAGCTGTGCTGGCCTGTGTCCCTGTAATAAATAACATTAAAGAATAACACACAGGAAAAGCTTGAGGACATGTCGGTTTGGTTTGGATCCCTTTCACACCGCACCTTCCGCGCTGCACACACGCTGGTACGTGAGGCTCCGCCAAGGACTGAAGGACTTGAGGCAGCCGAGGTTTTCTTTCGGCCCACCCTACTTCTGTCAGAGCCCACCCGAAGCAAAGCCCCCCCCGCCGCGGGCGGGAGCTCCGCTTTGTGCGGGGGAAATGAGGCTCCCTCTGAGCCCGACGGGCCCCCGCCGTCCCTGCCCGCTCTGCCGCGGGCCCGCCCGCGGGCGCTGCCGCCGCGCCGCCACACCTCCGCCGGGAGGGGCGCGGAGCCCGCCGAGGGCTCCTCCTCTTGGCCCCGGGGGCTCCGGAGGCGGCGGGGAGCATCGCAGGTACCGCGTCCACCGGCGGCGGGTCTGGCCCGGCAGGGCCTGGCCGAGCCCAGCCGAGCCGGGCCGGTCCTGAGGGGAGGGAGGCCCTGGCAAAGGCTGCCCGCCTGGCGCGCCCCGTCGCCACGGCGACGGCACCACAAGGGAGGCGGGAAGGGCGGTGGTCTCCCTGCGCGGCGGGCACGGCGGCGGGAGGGGGTAGAACCGCCGGCCGTGACTCCGTGTAGGTCCCGCTGCGAGGGAGGCGGTGGCCGCTGCTACCGTCACCCCCCGGTGGAGCCCCCGCCACCCTCCATTGAGCTGCCCGCAGAGGCGAGGCCCTGAGCGGCCTGGGCGAATGGCAGGCCGAGGGCAGCAGCCACCTGTGTGAGGGGCCCACCTGTCCCGAGTGGGCGCTTCTCACCGGCGACTACACACAGCAGCTGGCTTTCGCCTCAACACCTAAATTATAAATGCCCAAAGATCAGCCCACCTGTGCTAGAAAGTAGTCTTCAGAAACCACCAGTCATGGAGCCTGCACGGGCTCCTGAGGTACCCTCTTACAGAGCTTGCCTGGCCTTCCTGACAGGGAAACTCTAGTGTCTCAGCAAATCTCCCTTGCTAAAGCTCAAGCCAACTAATAAGAACAGTTTTATAGTGGTGCTTGCTCACATTTAGGTGTGTAAGTTTGCGTTGCAGGTACCCAGTGACATTGCCGTTTCTGCCAGAGGTTTCCAGGTGGCTGCCGGTGCCTGGCTGCGCTTGGCTGTGGTCTCCTGCAAAACACAGTGGCTTCTCATTTGGCTGCCAACATTAGATCACATTAGTTTAAAATAAGTCAACATGAAATAGATTATAATTTTATTTTTTTCCATCACAATTCTGCGGTATTGTTGACTTCAGGAAATAATGAGTCAGACTTTCCAAAATCGTATCCTAATATGACACAGTACTTTCTACTGCCTTCTCATGTTTTAACTTTAGGGTGTACTAGGACTAAGCTTCAAGCTTTTCTTTATGGGACACTCATAAAACTTGCTGCTTACTGAAAGTTCAGATCCACAATAATTTGCAGACTTCCAGGAGGTGACATTTTGAAGAAGAATCAGCAGCAGTAATAAAAACATAATAAAAATGATGGTCTTAAAGGTAGTGTTGTATTGGGTTTGTTGTTACAGCACTGACTGTGCAATACTAACTTGGGGACTTTTTTATTTTAGACACTGCTGTAAGACAAAGATAAGACAAAGACATCATGGATAAATATGAAATCATTAAAAAAATTGGAGAAGGATCTTTTGGCACAATATTCTTGGCAAAAGGAAAGGTGGATAATGAGCAGTGTGTTGTCAAAGAGATCAATTTAACTAAGGTAAAACAACAAAACCTGGATAATAACGGTAGTTATTTACTTGATGATGCTAATTTCATTTAGCTAGGATATGAACTTGGGTTATGTTTCATCTCCTTTGTAGTTCTACATCGATTATGTAGAGTTAAACTTTCTGCAGACTGTACTCTTTGCTAATTCAGTTATTTTAGAAGCATGGACGAAGTACATATTTTGATATTAATAGTGTTTACCTTTTACTGCATTTTTGTTCTTTTCAAATCTTTTCTCTGCCTACAATGCATGACACTACCTAATTCAAATTTTATGATAGAGGATTCAACTGCAATGAAACTATTGCCACTGAAATAACAAATCACAATTTTGTGATACGTTAAACTTTTTGATTTCCATATCCATACTTTCAGATGTGAGTAATACAGAGTGGAGTGTTTCCAATTCTCATTTATGTTTATGGGAGTTTGATTCATCTCATCTAATTTTAAATGTCCCTTTTGTAGCTGTCAGCATCTGAGCTGCTTGGCTAGACTCCCTTTTTAGGAGAACAAGAGAAATAAGTATTTTTAGGATGCTGTTGATCTATGTGTTTTAGAATTCTGTTTTAGAATGAGCTGAATCGGGCCATAAAAGTGCTCTCCTTTCTGCTGCCTGCAGAGGCAGGTTAGGATGACTAGCCCAGATATCAGGAACACCACTTCTATATTTGGTTCCAGAAAGATGGGCAATTAAACTCCCTGTGATTTCAAAACAGGGGTTTCAACAGTCAATTTCAGTGAGTGCTTGCATGCTTTTGACAGGTCTTTTGCTATTCTGGGCCACACTTGTGAATTTCTAATATATTAGAGAATTATAATAGACGAATGAATATGTATCAGTTCTAGAAAGAGCTGTATAACTTCCAGATTCAAACCCAGAAAAACTGATAAGCTAGTAATGTCAGCTAAATAAAAAATAGTTTCTTTCTATGCTCACAACCAATAAAAAACATACATTTCTAATCCTAGATTTTGATGTATGCAAAATAGAAAAATGAATGATAAGAAAATATTATTGTGGCTCTCGTTCCTTCAAACGTCAGGAGCTGGATACAGAAAATTACTCTGTTTTATTCACTTTCTGATTTTTGAATCTTTGAGGATTACATTTCGAATTTATTTCTTAAGAATGAGAGTAAGAAACTTTTTATAAATAAAGTTTATTTATAAGAGGAGATTTTGATGGATAGATTCTCTGAGACATTAGTTTTTCAGAAGTAATAATGATGAAAGTGTGATCACAATGAACTGTGTATAAAATTTCCATTTAATGTAGTAGGGCAAAGAGTTTGTCTGAAATGTTGCAGGAACTTGAAACACCAGTAAATCAGAATGACTTTTTTTCTTTATGCTTTTGCAATTGCCCATATTAAGAATACAGAATCATCTAGACCCTTGTTCTTCAAATACTTAAAAAAAATTTAGATTTTAACTCTATTCGTCAGCTAGCTTAGCAATAGCATTTGTGTAAAAAGTTTAAAGGTATACATTTGCCTGTTTGTAAAATGTCATAATTTGCTTTGACTTCAGTAACATCCCAATGTATTTCCATGCATACACTGCAAATAGATATTTTACATTATATGTACATCATATTTTATGTTTCTGCACCACCTTGGTACACAATCTTTTTGTATTGGTGGGAATGGCTTGATAACAATGTAACTGTTTGTGAAAAGAGTTTAATACAATCATTGCTAGCATATAGTTTCCTAATTCTTTATAGATGCCTGTAAAAGAAAAAGAAGCGTCTCAGGAAGAAGTTGTTCTTCTGGCCAAGATGAAGCATGCGAATATCGTAACCTTCTATGATTCTTTGCAAGGTTTACTTTTAACATTTTTGTTTTATTTGTGATTATAGGAGTGGAAGGCAGCAAAACCTGGCTTGTTAATATTGCCCAACCTTGAGCCTGTCCCTAACCCCTACTTACCGGTGGGGACAGGTCCCAACTCCTAAAAATGAACATGAGGTATTAAATTCAGTCATCATTTGCCCTCTTCATGTGTGTGGGGGGGACCTAAGGTATTGTGGCAGGAGTGCTAGATCCTGGAGTGTCTGCATTTCTTAAATTGAACTTTCATCTTGATCTTCAGTAGGATGGCCTCTTCTCCCAAGGGAATAATGACAGGACCAGAGGAAATGGTCTAAAGTTGCGGCAGCGGAGGTTTAGATTAGATATTAGGAAGAATTACTTTACCGAGAGAGTGGTCAGGCACTGGAACAGCCTGCCCAGGGAGGTGGTGGAGTCACCATCCCCGGAGGTATTTAAGAAATGTGTGATGTGGCACTTCAGGGCATGCTCTAGTGCCTGAGATTGTTGGGTTTTGTCTGTCTGTGGGTGGTGTGGTGTGTCTGTGTGTTGGTTTGTGGTGTGGGGTTTTTTTGGTTGGTTGGGGTTTTGTTTTGTTGAGTTCTTTTTTTTTTTTTTTGTGGTTGGACTGGATGATCTCAAAGGTCCCTTTCAACCATGGATATTCTGTGATTCTGTGAGAAGGAGGTTTGTTCTCCACAAAAGATAATTCCCTATATTTATTTTTCCTGCTGACATCTGTCATAAGCAATGCCTTATGCAATGAATTCTATGGTTACAGGTTGTGTTCAAATTGTTTTCTGTGATCAGGACTGTAAATGTTGTAAAGGACACATAAATTTGATAGTCTTCTGGACCTCAGAGGGGAAAGAATAGGGTGTTTCCAAATTCAGTAGCCTGTGCTGTTTATTTCTTCTTTGTGGACACTGGCTACTTTTAACCTTTTCCGTAAGCCTAACTGTATACTTAGTTATTATTGGAGAACAATCCCAACTGTGAAGTGTTCTGCTAAGCATTGCCTGTAAGAACATCTGTCATTC